AAAATTTCACTAAATCAGCTAAAAATTACTGTGCTTAGTGAGTGAGATCTCTAATTTACCTGAAGAAATATGTGTCAAGGCAAGTCTAGAAGGCAATAAGGAAAACCTATTATATACTAATGTTTTAAAGTTAAATTTAGGAGTAAACATTCCAGTTCATGAATGCTTATGAAGAAGGTTACCAAGCTGGAGTTCTGCATGACACCCAGCTGAGCTGTCATTCAAAGCATACCCACACAGCCCAAAGGCACATCATGCACAGAGAGTTCAGGTGAGGTCACATTTGATTTCAACAAGTTTTACATGAAGAAAAACCTTGCTCAACTAGTCCAAAATCACTGTCATTTATAAGAAACAGGGGAAGCATTCAGCAGAAATATCAGCTTCAATAATTTCTCTTTTACATTATGTCACTGAAAGGATACATAGGATAAGAACTAGAAAGTTAAGAGGTGATGGAGGTAAGAAGTCATGCTCTGGCCCATTATTACCTTCAGTCATCATCTTTATCATCCCCTCTAAACTATACAAAACCACTCTCTCCTATGAGCTCCTGTAACTGTACCCCTTCTGTAATACTCGTCAGCTCTTGCCTTTTTAATAGCTATACATGAGCATAGCGTCTTCATCATACTAAGCTGCAATTTCTTCTGGGTCAGGCTCACACACTAAGCTTTCAATCTGTGTTACATCTAAGTGACTGAACATGAAACCTGCTATCATGATAGCAGTCAAAGGATCCAGGGTACCTTTTTTAAAGAAATCTATTTTCGGGAATTCCCTGGTGGTCCAGTGGTTAGGACTCAGAGCTTTCAGTGCCTCAGTGCCATGGCTGGAGTTCCATCTTTGGTCAGATCCCACAAGCCACATAGCACAGCCGAAATAGAAAATAAAATAAAATTATTTCCTTCATAGAACAATTACTGAAGTACTAATCACATTGATATGTATATGCTTTTCTTTTCCACTTTAGAAGTGGAAAACCTACTACAAAAATGTTTTTAATTAATTTCTTATTTCATGATCATTGCAGAAAAACTAGACTATACAGATAGGAAACCTGAAGATATAACCTTATGGCCCAGAAAAAAACTCACTATATTTTAAATTATGTCCTGCTTTTTCTATACATCTACATATAGATTTATAAATCTATCTGTTTTGATGTATAGATATTTCAAATGGTATAATGGCATATATGTTTTTTGTAGCATTTTCTCACTTAAAGCCCAGTATAAATCACTTGTACATCATTAAACTTTATTTTTACAACTTAATTTTTTGACTGCATAGTTTCCAAAATATGGGTTTACCATATTTATGTAGTCTCTTATAGTTCTGAAATTCTTTAAAATAACACTGAAAATAAAAAAAGGAAAGAAAGGTTGCTGAATGTTCTCTCATATATTTCATAAATGGCAGTGATTTTGGATTAGTTTAAAAAGATTTTTGTACCTATGACATGTTTCTATCTTTATAGCTACAGCTTTGACCATATGCATAATTATGTGAATTCATCCAGGGTCAAAGAATAAATACTTCCACAGCTTACCATGGACACTGCCAAACTACCATCAAAAAAGTTGTTAAAATTTACATTTTTTCCAGCAGTGTATACTTCTCAGTATCTCTACCTGTACCAGGATTACCATTTTAAAAAAATTTTTGCTTGCACAGTATTTTGAAATGTCTTCAGAACGTCCACCAAACTCCTTCCTTTTGTTCCCCTAATTTTCATCTACATCTCTCTCCATTGCCCTTCCCAGACTATTTTTGTCTGTGTTTTTCCACTGTTCAAGTCTTATGATGGCTTTGCTATCACACTGAAAGATGCCTAGCTATTTTATCTCCTTAGACTTACAGCCAAAGTATCAGCTGACTAATCTGATAAACATACTACTGTGAAGGGCTCATTTCCAGCAACATGTATGCAATATAACTTGAACAGTTTAAGAAAAATATATTATCTACATCAGCAGTGTATTATTTAACTTACAGAGTAGTGGTTCTCAGTTTTTGCTGCGTGCTGAAATCACCTTGGGAACTGTTAAAAATACTGCTTCCTGGGACTCCTCTCCCAGAGATTCTGCATAAATCTGGTATATGATGTGAACTGGGCATTAGGATTTTTGAAGGCTTCCTAGGTGACTCTAATGTAGCATCTGTGTTTGAGATGACTTGAGAAAGATCCTAAATAGCTTCTTCTTAGGTAACATTGAAGGACCCCAAGGAAGAAAATCACAATGAACATAATCTCAATAATCTGACTCATCTGCAGAAGATAAAGGACATGAGAAGGGACAGGGAGTGGTGAAGCATTTGCCAATGACAGCAGAATAAAAGTAGCATTCACTTTTTTTTTGGCCACACCACATGGCATCTTAGTTCCCCAACCAGGGATCAAACCCATGCCCCCTTCAGTGAAAGGCACAGAGTCTTAACCACTGCACTGCTGGGGAAGTCCCAAGCCTTCACATTTCTTGATGTTAGGCAGGTGCCTGCTGTATTAGGAAGCTGACCAAGCCTTACCTCTGAAGTAGCTTTTGTAACAGAGCCAAACAATTCAAACTAAAATGATGTGGGCAACAAACTTTATGCCAGGCAATTTAGCGGTAGCATTCCGGGTTTCAAGGAGGTAGTCTACTTCCAGTTTACCTTTATTTTATTGTTTCAACAAAGTTGAGCAGTACTACAGATTTTCCCCACAACCCACAGTGGCTCTTTGGGACAATACTTAGAAGAAGACTGGAGTGGGTTGCCATTTCCTTCTCCAGGGGATCTTCCCAACCCAGGGATTGCACCCGGGTCTCCTGCATTGTAGGCAGACACTTTTACCATCTGAGCCACCAGGGAAGTCCACTTAGAAGAATAACTACAATCAATTCCAGCCATTAAAATACATTACAGTACTCTTACAAAGCATTAATAGCTATCAGCCCTATTTTACAAGGAAAGCTGAGGATCAGAGAAGGTTAGTTAATGGGCTAGCCTCGCAGCCAGCAAGTGGCCTGGCTGAGGAGGGATTCAGGGAGGCATGACTAACATGCTCTGTTTACTACCAAATGTCAAGCACATTGCCTTTTCCCCAGGACAATTTGAAGTGACACTGGTAAATTGCTTTCCCGGGTAGAATATGCTTCCTTGGGGCTGAATGATGTTTCTGATATTTTACAGTTCTGAAGACAAATGATGAGATGCACTTGTGTGCTAACCCAACCCCAGCCACAGGGTCCAGTGAGGATACTTGCTACCTTATCTGTCTCTGTGACCTGGCACTATAAACATTATTCCCAAACACCAGCTAAGGGCACACTCTACAGATGACCGTAAGGTCCAAAGGCCTTACTGGAAGGGTTGCTTTGTTGGGGAAGAAAGACATTTTTCCAATCATGGCTTTTTCCCAAATTACTTATGATAGGGAAGATTTCCTTGGTGATCAGAAAGGCAAGAATAATCTCTGTGGCCAACACAGTAGCTTGACTTATTTTTTCTTTCTTTCTGTTTTTCTTATCATTAGGCATTACTCTTTTTACTGTAGAAGGCCATTTAAGCCACCCTGGTAAATATCATTGCATCCCAGAATCTTTAAAGGGTGCTACTCCCCAGCTACAAAATTTCTGGAGGAAGGGAGAGCATCCTGCACAAGACGGCCTTCCTTGGAGGCAGTGCTAGAAAAGGGGATGGTCATTCTTTCCTCTTGTCAATGTAAGTAAGCAGGAGGGAAGGAAGAGGCTCTATAGCCTCATAGACCTTTTCTAAGACAAAATAGGGGACTTGAGGGTGGAAACGTGGCTGGATTCAAGAAAAGCAAAATCTTCCTAGAAATGTGCTGTAATACCCTAGTTAAGGGATTTTTGATAGGACAACGCCTCAGAGACTAGGTAAGGCTACACACAGTTGGAATGCACAGGGAATATCAACCCTCTAGGAAAATCCTGTTTGTTTGTTTGTTTCTCTCTCTCTCCCTAGTTGTCACTCTTTAAAGGAGTTTACAAAAATAGCCTGAGGTTAAAGCCCAAGGTTGGGGGAGGGGAGGAGTCTCGGCTTGGGGGGAGAGTCAGGAGTTTAGATAGAGCAGGATGCTGGGAAAACCCCGCTCAGTCATAGGGCTCAGACTTGACAGTTGATTGTAGTCTGGATTTTAGATTGTCTGGCACTAAAAATAATGCCTCAAATAGAATAAACCAGAAAGTTACATTCTTCTGTCTACGGGGTTAAAAAAAATATACACTCATGGTACAGTAAAGAGAACTGTCACCCTGCCAGGCTAAGCCTGGATATCCTTGCTCAGGCAAAGGTTGGCTCTTCCACAGTTACGGACAGAAACGAAAGGCTGCAGCGCAGGCGGAAAACAAGGGCATCACGCAAACACCTGCTGTCACTACCTCCCCTCTCCCGCCGCCAGCCAGGCCTCTCCGCCTCCTTTGTTGGGCTGAGACGAGGAGGGCCGGCCATGACGTGCAGATCTGTGCGGTTCCCTAAGGACTGGGGGAGCCCGGGCTGCTGCCCCTGGCAAGGAGGGCTCCACTGTCGGACAGAGAGCGAGATCACCGTGCCAAGCCTGCTCTTAAGGTGGCTGCATTCCCAGGAACCAGAGCCTTCCTACAACACTTAACTCGCTCTCTGCCGCTCTCTATAAGAGAACAAATTGGGGGAGGGGTGGGTTATAAAACGCTGGAAGCTTGATTTTTGACGTTGCAAACCAAGATAGAAGGTGACATTTAGGAAAGACGAGGATTTAAACAGTCGTCAAATTCTGCTCAAGAACTTCACCTTCTCCGGTATCAACACAGAAGAAGACCTACACACAGACCTAACCCACTGCTAGCCAAGAAGCGAATGCGACATCCTGAAAATGTCAGCCTGAACGACTTTAAAAAGCAATAGCCTTATTGCGCTACAAACATATGCATCTCATGGGACAAAGCCGGAAATTCTCTTTCCCCTTTAAATATTGCCCAAGAGAAGGGAGAGAGAATCAGCCCTGGGCTGCGTCTCACCACTTGCTGTGCGCTCCGGAAAGTGGCGTCCAGCAGCATCAGCTTCCAGGGATCGGAGACGGAGCTGGGCAGAGGGATGTAGATGTAATAGGCGGCCAGCGCCACTAGGGCGGTAAGCAGGACGCAGGACGACCTCATCATCCTCCGGCTCGGCTGGCCTGCCGGACCTACGAGGAAGAAAGGGCAATACCACCCAAAGACCTCAAGCAAGTTTCTGCGAGGGCCAGCCGCTCATTCACCCGTTTCTTGTATGCCCAGAGCCAATCAGAGGCGGCGTCGGGAGGAAGTCAGAGCGCTGACTTGCCCCCTCCACTGTGTCCTTGCAAAGTGTTGCAGACACTCCAGGTTGAGAAAGCTGCGGGGCCGTGCTGGGCGAAGAACAGCGGACTCCGGAGGACACAGGTGTGTACTGCACACCAGTGACCAAGGGCTTCCCTTCTGCAGGTTTCCAAACAGAAACTTAACTGCATTAAGTTTCTGCCTGTCTAAAGCACATCTGACTCAAAATGGAGTCAGATGTGAGAAAGATAATAAAATGATAATAAAAATCCACTGATTTCTACAGCTAGATTTGCAAGGGAATGTAAAGCCTATCTGATATGTGGTGAGAGAAGAAATTCTTATAGCTCAAGCAAATGATAAGCAGGTAGTATAATAAATCAAGCACACAAATCTTGGTTTCCAGATCTCATCCTCCAATAAAAAGAACCATGACTCTGCCATGGCTCCTTGGAGAAAAGACTGTAGGGCTGAGGCAGGTAAAGTACAGGATGGACCTGTTCTAGAAGATGAGGAAGTGCTAAAAAATGATGGGATCTTAGTCAAAAGGAGATAGTTGGCAGCTTTAAGGGTCTTCCAATGTCAAAAACTGGGATAATTTTAACATCAAAATAAATAATAATAATGGATTATAAACCATTAAATAAAATAAATATCTAGGAGTCTATACTAATATAAATAAATGGGAAACACTATGTGAAAAAAAATTCTTTCAGTGGATCAGTGGAAACAGAAAAAGTATTTGAATCCAGATTTCCTATTAAAGATAGGGGGAGGGGAGTGGATATAGAATGAGAGAGACAGAGAGAGAACTTCAGCAGAATTACAACCAGAGATCCAGAAGGAAAAATTTGGAAGAATTGTTTTAAGGAAGTGGTTAGAGAATAACTCCAAACATATTGATCAAGGCCTTAAAACATCTGGCACGTATAATTTTGCAACTTAATATAGTAAGTGAAATTTAACGTAACCCAAAGTAATAAAATAATCATAAATTGGGGGCTGAAAATGAGATTATTGGCAGAAAGTTGGCTTCCTATTCAAAGTTTGGAGGAAAATACTTATGTGAAGGGTATACTTCAATGATGTTTCAAGCATTCAAGTTTGAGATCATCATTTTATATCTTTTTATAGTTACTCATTAAAGTATAACTCTGAACATAAAGAGATATATTAATTTGTTGGTGTGTGTATGTACATAAAGTTAGAAGCTAGTCTCTGTGGGTGATTACAGATAATCCCAGAGCTATCAATAGAGTTGACAATTGCATTGATTAACATTTTAATTAATGTTAACATTAATGATGACATTAATTTGCTTTCAGGTAATCTGTAAAATAATTCAGAGTTTTACGTTATAGACTTTAATATTTTTCTCCTAAATTTTGATTGTATTCATAAAATCATAGATCTTAAAGCTGATGACTAAACAAGTAACAACAAACCACCCACACCTGACCCATCCTTCTGTCTTTAGCCAGTAGTAATAAGCTTGATATATAGATGAGCCTTCTGAGACCCAGAGCAGCCTCAAGAAGCCTCTTCTAATTTGTAAGTGATAGAACCAGTATTTATTTTTTCTGGACTTCCCTAGTGGTTCAGTGGTTAAGAATCCCCCTGCCAGGATTCTTGTGCAGGGGACATGGGTTTGACCCCTGGCTCAGGAAGAATCCACATACTGAGGGGCAACTAGAGCCCTAGAATCTGTGGTCTGCAACAAGAGCATTGAAGGCAGATTCTTTCCTGTCTGAGCTACCAGGGAAGCCCGTCTGGAACAAGAGAAGCCACCACAATGAGAAGCCTGAGCACTGCAACTACAGAAAGCCCATGCATGCAACGAAGACCCAATGCAGCCAAAAGTAAATTGAGGTAATAAATTTTTTAAATACTGTTGGTTGGAATTGACAATATAAAAACAGAAACATTTTTAAAAAAATATTTATTTCTCCTGACTCCCAATGCTGTGCAAGCAGTGCACTAAGAGAAACTAAGAAAAAAAGAAAGAAACCACTATCTTAATAATCTTCAGTGCTTCTTCTGTAGATCTGAGAGTCCTTAAAAAAATGAAACCCATCTGAGATAAATTTAAACACCTTCATCATTTGTTTCTAATACTTCATTCATTCAACAAATATGAATGAACAAATAGTGGTCCACACTAGGAAATAAAGGAGTGGGGGGCAAGGCAGTAAGCTCTCTGCTCTTTCTGATTTTTACGTGTTTGGTGGTGATGGTGGTTGTGGAGTGAGGGTAACGAAGGTACAGAAAGGAAAGGCAAACAACAGATAAACAATATAACTACAACCCAGGTTCTCTGGTTAACATTTTGAATGTATTAACTCATTTAGTCTTTACAACAGTTCTCATAAAGTATGTACTTTTATTATTCTGAAAACAGGCACTGGAGGATGAAGTGCTTGTCCCCAAGTCACCCATGTAGTAGAGGTGTACTTGGGAGTTGAGCCCATGGAGTCTGGCTCTTGTGCTCATGTGCTTTACCACTCAACTCTGCTGCCAAGAGGTTAGGACTGGGAAAAAAATAGAACAGTGTGGTGTGACACCTTGTGGCTGGTTGCTGCTTTAAACTGGGTGATGAAGGGGACTTCTTTAAGTTGCTTCAGTACTTTACGTTGCTTCAGTCATGTCTGACTCTGTGACCCTTTGGACTGTAGCCCACCAGGCTCCTCTGTCCATGGGATTCTCCAGGCAAGAATACTGGAGTTGCCATGCCCTCCTCCAGGGGATCTTCCAGCCCCACATCTCCTGGGTCTCCTGCATTGCAGGAGGATTCTTTACTGCTGAGCCATCAGGGAAGCCCTCTTTAAGGAGATGTCATTTGAACTGAGACCTGAGTGTCTAAAGAGTTAGCCATGCAGGAATCTAGAAGGTAGGAAACAAGTGCAGTGGCCTTGAAATGTCACCAGGTCAAGGAACAGACAGCTGGTGAGACAGCTTTCTCTGCAAGGGGTGTGCTGGATCAGGCCGTCGAGAGGTAGCACGGGTGCAGAAGGGTGGGTTATCTAGGACTGTGTAGAACATGATAATGAGGTGCCATGGAGAGCCACTGGAGACCTTGCAGCAAGGGAGCAACAGAATCTGATCTGTATTTGAGAAGAACCACTCCAGCTGCGTTGTAGAGAATAGTTATCCAGATCAGAGAGGATGGTGACTTGGAGGGGCCACCGTGGTGGGACAGAGGAAAGGGGCAGATTTAGAACACATTTTAGATATGGGAGAGATATGACATACTCACAGATTGTGAAGGGTGATAAAAATCTCCTAACTCAAAACTGTACTGTTCAGATTTCAGGCTGATTGGAGCAGAGTATATGTGGGAAGGATCATGGCTGGTATCAGTGGCTGTTTGCTTTGCAGAAAAATGACCATGGCACTCCTCAAAGAACCTATTGTGTGCACACGCCTGTGCATCCACGCACACGTGTGCGCGTGTGCACACACACACACATACCTACCTTCTAAAAAAATACAGAAATTTTAAAATTTAAAGGTAAATCAGGTGAGTAGAAAACATGAGACACCATTTTTTTTTAAACCAGCATTGGTCAGCATTAGCTCAGGTACTACCAAAGGAGAAAGATACTCTGAAGTAAAACACAAGCTGGTATCTTTGACCAAAGGTGTGTGTGCATGTTCAGTCATGTCTGACTCTCTGAGACACCAAGGACTGTAACCCACCAGGCTCCTCTGTCTATGGAATTTTCCAGGCAAGAATACTGGAATGAGTTGCCATTACCTCCTCCAGGGTATCTTCCCCACCCAGAGATATATCCCACATCTCTTTTGTCTCCTGCATTGGCAGGCAGATTCTTTACCACTAGTGCCACCTTGGAAGCCCAAAGTTATTACTCCTTTAAAGGTTAGCTACCTTTGCATTTCATGCAAAGATGGGCTCAATAAAGGACAGAAATGGTATGGACCTAACAGAAGCAGAAGATAGTAAGAAGAGGTGGCAAGAATACACAGAGAAACTGTACAAAAAAGCTCTTCACAACCCAGACAATCACGATGGCATGATCACTCACCTAGAGCCAGACATCCTGGAATGTGATTGAAGTCAAGTAGGCCTTAGCAAGCATCACTATGAACAAAGCTAGTGGAGGTGATGGAATTCCAGTTGAGCTATTTCAAATCCTAAAAGATGGTGCTGTGAAAGTGCCGCACTCAATATACCAGCAAATTTGGAAAACTCAGCAGTAGCCTCAGGACTGGAAAAGGTCAGTTTTCATTCCAATCCCTAAGAAAGGCAATCCCAAAGAATGTTCAAACTATCACACAATTGCACTCATCTCACATGCTAGTAAAGTAATGCTCAAAATTCTCCAAGTCAGGCTTCAGCAATACGTGAACTGTGAACTTCCACATGTCCAAGCTGGATTTAGAAAAGGCAGAGTAACCAGAGATCAAATTGCCAACATGCGCTGGATCATCGAAAAAGCAAGAGAGTTCCAGAAAAACATCTATTTCTGCTTTATTGACTATGCCAAAGCCTTTGACTGTGTGGATCACAATAAACTGTGGAAAATTCTGAAAGAGATGGGAATACCAGACCACCTGACCTGCCACCTGAGAAATCTGTATGCAAGTCAGGAAGCAACAGTTAGAACTGGACATGGAACAACAGACTGGTTCCCAATAGGAAAAGGAGTACGTCAAGGCTGTATATTGTCACCCTGCTTCTTTAACTTCTATGCAGAGTACATCATGAGAAATGCTGGGCTGGAAGAAGCACAAGCTGGAATCAAGATTGCTGGGAGAAATATCAATAACCTCAGATATGCAGATGACACCACCCTTATGGCAGGAAGTGAAGAAGAACTAAAGAGCCTCTTGATAAAAGT